ATGCGAGGAGGGAGAGCTAGAGCAGCCTCCCAATTCATTGGTTTTTTTTTTTTTTTTTCCGTCTTTTAAAGTTGTTGCAGCGAGGGGGGTGTTGTCGCACGCAGCCTAGATCGCTCGCTACCTACTCGTGGGCTGGGGGCTGGGCCTGGGGCTGGCTGGCTGTCTGATCTTTTCTTTTTCCTTTCCTTTTTCTTTTCTTTTCTTTTTTTTTTTTATTCTGGGGGTGGGGGGTGGGGGGTGGGGGGTGGAGGGCGGTGGACCTCTTTTTTTTTTATATATTCGTCCTGTGCTTAGCTCAGCTCAGCTCAGCTCTGCTCAGGGAGTGATATGCGATGCGATGCGATGGGATGCGATGGGATGGGATGCGATATAACGACGGGATGAACGGGATGAACGGGATGAATGGGATGATGGGCCAGCGTTACGTTACGGTTTGCCACGTTCACTGGCATGAACATGGAGAGCGTGGAGCGTGCAGCGTGCAGCGTGGAGCAGGAGAGTGCGTGACGACATTTACGACTTGATCTCTTTTGCACTTCCTCCTTTCTCCTTTCGTTTATAAACCTAGGTATCGATCTATCTGTCTAAAGAAGAGGGAGGCCTTTTTCTGGGGAGCTTTGCGAACTCCCTCGGGCTGTTTTTTCACTTTTCACTCTTTGATGAGTTTTTTTTTTTTTTTTGTTCTACATCGTTACGAGTGGAGTGAAATGCATACCGGTATATCGGTTTTGCAAAGGGGAGTGAGTGGGGTTGAGGAATGGATACCGGTAGATGGTTCGGCTCGACTCGGCTCGGCTCGGCTCGGCTCGGATGGGGCCGTCTGTCTTCACTGCCATCTCTGAGCTCTTTTCGAAAAACTTTAAATAAAGCTACCTTATCTCTACTCTTGGCTTGGCTCCATCTCTCTACTTGTAAGATTCCTCTTCCATCTCCGCTACTGGATGAGAAATAGGTAGGTCGGTAGGTACGTAGGTAGGTGCGCGGAGTGGGTAAGTCAGGTCAGGTGGATTGGATAGGTAAGTACGTACGGGCGGGAGAGTCTTTCTTTCCTTCGTCGTAAGCGCCGTGGCTGTGCGAGGTAATGCCCGTGCTCAGATGGATAGATGCATGCGGCGGCGGCTTCTGCGGGAGAGGGGGAGAGAGGGAATTTGAGTCGGTAATTGATTTGCTGTGATGCGATGCGATGCGATGCGATGCGATGCGATGATGATACGGTTGAAGTGGAGATGAGGATAAGGATAGGGAATGGGATTGGGATTGTGAAGGAGAGGAGAAGAGAGGAGAGGAGCGATGATGTGAAGAGAGAGAAAGGGAAGAGAGAGAGAGAGAGAGAGGGAAAAGGAGATGACGAGGGATGAGACAACAGGATGTACTTCCCTACGGTATTTAGATTGGTATTCGCCGAAGTCAAAAAGATGGATTGAAAGAAAAAAAAAAAAATAGGAAACGAACAAAACAGAGAGAGAGAGAGAGAGAGAGAGAGAGAGGAAAACACTGTGGCGCGGGTTCTTATTAGCGAGCTGACAAGCCCTAACACACACACACACGCACACGGTCGGATCCGGTCCCAACCTTCTCTTCTTCCTTTCTCTCCCTTTCCTCCCCTCTTTCTCCTTCTTCCCCTTTGCAGACAGACAGACAGACAGACAGACAGACAGACAGACAGACAGACAGACAGACTCTCTCTGGTCATATTCTTTCCTGGTCCTACTACCGCTCTGTATGTCAGGGATACCGGTATCGATACGGTTTTTCATTCGTGGGTCTACGTGTCTTTTCTCGCTACCTACTCTCTTGAGCAGAGCAGAGCAGAGCAGAGCACGTGTTTGCCTATTTCTCAACTCATCTCATCTCTTCTCTTCTCTTCTCAACTCATCTCATCTCATCTCTTCTCATCTCTTCTCATCTCCGTCTGCGAACGCAAGAGTGGAAGAGATAGACGAGAAGAAGGCACGTGGGGTGAGGGGGCAAGAGGCTCGGAGCGTTCGCGCCGTACCACGTTACGTTACGTTACGTTACGAAGCTACTCTCTCCATCCACCTATCTATCATCGACGAAGAGAGGGAAGTGAAGGGGTAGTGTATGTATATATATATATATATATGTACCTATGTACCTTTGTTACCTACCTCCTCTAAAAGGTCTGGCTTGGCCTGGTAAGCTGGCTGGCTGAGGACCTCTATCGTCTCTCGTCTTGTTGATCTACCGGTATTATTCCCTTCTGCGTACTGGCATGTCCCGTACCGTAGTGTTTGCGATATTATCCGTGTCCCCTGCGTGCAGCTCCATCTACCGGTATAGGTATAGGGACCAATGTTCTACCTCTGGTCTTTCTTACGCGTTTTCTACTCTTGAGCGCCTGGAATCCTTCGCGTCTGGTTCGCGATGCGCTTCAGCCAGCGCGTGTCCCGTCGCGGAATGCAGATGCCCGTCTGCGTCTCCTGCTCTTCCATGATGGTGGCTGGGCCGCCGCCATCGCTGCTGCTGCTGCTGCTGCTGTTGCTGTTGCTGCATCGGGCGATGGGCGAGGATTGTAGCAAGAAGCGAAAAGTTGGTCACGGGTGTGACGTGACGAGTTTGACGTCATGGGTTCTGGGGAATTGGGGAGTCGGTCTTTGAGGCTTGAGACAAGGTGCTCGTTCTTTTTGCCCGCGTCTGTTGATCTGCGTTACTTGCTTTTCTTCCTTCAACCTTCAACCTCAACCTTCGACCTTCGACCTTCAACCTTCAACCTGTTCCCGCCAACGATACAGAAAAATTTCAACGAGACAACACCAGCATCATACACCACTATCACCACCACCATCACCACCACCATCACCACCACCATCACCACCACCATCACCACCACCATCATGTCAACTCCCTCCGAGCCTCCCCCTCCCTACACAGCAAACGCAGCCCCCTCACAATCAGCCTCCACCAACACCCTCCGCGTCCCCAACACCCGCAACGGCATCCCCCCTCTCTCCCGCCGCTCCATGGAAGACGAGGCGCGCGCTCTGCCGCCCGGCTGGTCGCGCCAATACGATGCAGAGACGCACCACCAATTCTTCGTCGACACACGCGCCTCGCCCCCGCGCTCCATCTGGCACCACCCCTACGATGACGAGACCTACCTGTCCTCCCTCCCCGCCGAGGAACGTACGCGGATCCATTCTCTGCATCGCGTCCCGACGGCCGCCGATCTCGAGGCGGAGAGCAGCGGCGACGATGACGACGAGGACGATGATCATCATGCCACGGCAGGAACCGGGAGAGCAGAGCTCCCTCCGCGGGGAAACGGAAACGGAAACGGAAGCCACGAGGATGAACCCACCGGCGTACACAAACTGACCCGCAAGATGAAAGACAAGCTCACATCCTCGACGCACCAGGAGCGCGAGGCGCAGCGCCAGCAGCGTGCCCGCGACGAGGCGGCCGCCTACGAGCGCCATCAGCACATCCGTCGGCAGATGAGCAAGGCCATGGCGACGGGGGAGCCGCAGCTGCTGGGCCGGGACCGGGAGGGCAAGGAGGTGTATATCGAGCCGCCGCAGATGCCCATCGGGTTCGGCTATGGAGGTCGCGGGTATGGGATCAACCCGTACTCGAGCGGGCTCTATGGGTACCCGGGCATGGGCATGAGAGGGGCGGGGGTGGGAATGGGAATGGGTGGTGGATATGGGCAGCAGCGATATGCGAGGCCTGCGTACCCGTATAGTCGGCCCTATGGAGGCGGCTACGGGGGTGGTTTTGGCACGCCGCTGCTCGGTGGGCTGGCGGGTGGTGCGTTGTTGGGGGGTTTGTTGTTCTAGGGAAGCGAGGCGAGGGGCTATGCGTTTATTTGTGATGGTTCGTTGGGCTGGGAAAAGAATTGGGCCGGCGCGGCTAGGCGACCGGTAAACAGGACACCATGGTATCCACCGCACCGCATTCTCGAACCGTCGCGGCCTTTCCAATGTTATTGCGTCTTTCCAACGCAGGAACCCGCGTACCACCTCGCGAACTCTTGGCGTTTTGAGCGATTGAGCCTGCCCTCGGTTCTATAAGCATCAGGAGTGCATATAGAAATCAACCTCAGCTGCTAAGCACTATGGAGATAATCGCTCATCGCTCACTTGTTCGCCTTTGTAATCTTGGTACCTTGGTGTTTTCTTCCATCGTCTCTGTTCTCGTTCGTCTGATCTCATCTCATCTTTCATCGTATCTTTCTTCGTCGTATCCTACGTATCCTACGTATCCTCCGTATCCTCCGTATCCTCCGTATGCTATCCCATCTCCTTTCTCCTCTCGTTAAATATCCCTTACGACAACCACAAGCAACGAACGAGCAACAACAACAACTGCTCAGCCGTAGAACCACACACACACACAATGCCTGTTCCTTCCCCCCCTTTTTTTCTTTGCGCTTGCTTGCTTGCTTGCTTCTCGCTTGCTTGGGTATTGCCTTTGAAAACTGCCCGGGTTATCCAGATCGCACCTAGACGCAGACGCAGATGCAGATGCAGACCCAGACCCAGACCCAGACCCTCCTCCTCTACAGCTTCAACCGCGGCGCGTACTTGCCCAGCACGCTCTCGCTGTGGTACTTCCAGAACGGCTTCGAGGCGTCCTTGCCTGCCACGCGGGCGAGGATCTTGGAGCCGGCGGGGTGGTCGTTGAGGAAGTCTGTGCGGAGGGGGAGGGGGGGGGGGGGAGGGCTTTTTGGCTTTGATTGAAGAAGTAGGTAGGTAGGTAGTATACCGGTAGGTGTAGAAGGGGAGAGGGAGGGAAGGGTTTCAATTCTTGGTCCTGAACGTGTTCGGGAGATGGGATGGGATAGGTAGACGGTGTCGCGGTTCCCCGGATTATCAGATGGAACCTCGGCTCGGCTCCGGCCGGCGTCTGAGTTGATCTGTATTGGAAAGGTCGGGGCTGTGATTGGCTCGGTGGGCTGGCTAAGGTGGGTTGGGCCGGCTCGGCATCTGAAATGTATCAAGATTTCCATTACCTAATGCTAATTGCGGCCCTGGATTCCTGTCAGCGATAAGGTCACGGTGTTCGCGACGCTTCTTGATACCTTGATACCGGTACCTACCTGACCTACCTACCTACCTACCTACCACCTACCACCTACCTACCGACCCTATATGCCATGCTCGTACAGAGTATACACGAGGTGAGTTGTGATGTATGCGATCGAGTGCTTTAAATTGGAACACCCGGTTGTTTTTTTTCTACCGTAATCAATAAATAGGTAACAGGGCCCGGGAAAAACGTCTCTGCATATCTAGAACCCATATCTCCGGACCCTGTATCCCTCCCCTCAAAGCCCCTTTCCAGTACCCAAACAAACAAGCTGCCGAGACCTAGGTACCTCCCAGCGGAGATGCAATCAATGGGAAAGAAAATTCCACCTCTCTCTTCCAAACGAAATGCAGCAGCGGTCGAGTGGCGGAGGTCATCACCACCCGCTCTCGCTCGCGTATTGCTTCCATACGAGAGAAGAGAAGAGAGAGCACGGGAGTAAAACGCGACAAGCGCAGCCTTGTTTTTCTTGTTTTCCCCTGGCCACGGCTTGGGACCAAGAAAGCGCATGCTTGTTTTCCATTAATAATCTCATCCTATAATAATAAGGTACCGACCCGGTGCAGCGCGGAATCCTCGCAGCTCCCTTGTGTGTGTGTGTTTATTTTTTTGTGTCTGTGTTCTCCCTCTTCTCCCCAAACCGAAAAAAAAAACCCACGTTCTTTTTTTCTTTTGGCCGATCGGGTCTCCTGCGTCGGATTTGCGATTCCGGTTCCCGTGTTCTTGCCCATTCTGGAGGAGGAGTCGGCCCCGTGACTGAGACGAGGGAAGAGAGATCGAAAATTCGCGCGCTTGGGGGGGGGGATATTTCCATACCGATAGCGAGAAGGGAGCTTTTTGCGGCCAAGGTCTACACTACCAACACGCTGACCCTCCCTCCAATATATTCATCACCACCACGACCACCACGACCACCACGACCACCACCACCACAGCACACGGAAGGGACGATGGTCTTCTCGTGGGCCTACCCGGCGCATGCGCATCAAGGACATTGGGGATTGGTCGATTCGCAGCACAAGTAAGTATTTATATGCCTACAGATCTCTCTCTCTCTCTCTCTTCCCTCTCTCTTCCATCTCTCTTCCCTCTTCGCAACCAGAAAATCACGGCTAACAATCGGGGAAATCTAGCTTTTGCGAAGAAGTAAGTCGGTCAAAGCTCCCCCACCCGCAAAGGCAAACGCGAAAATTCAAAAACGAAAAAAAAGGAAAAAAAGGAAGAAAAAAGGAAAAAAAAAAAAGACGAAGGCGGAGGACGTTCAGCGAGGAGAAGCACAAAGACTGACGGTGCGATAAACAAAAACACAGGACTACATCCTCACGCCCTACATCGCCGAACTCATCAATACGCTCACCAACCTCACCTATCGTACGTTCTTGCCCCCTCCCTTCCTTCCTTCCTTCCTTCCTTCCTTCCTTCCTTCCTTCCTTCCTTCCTTGGCGTGCGCGCGCATCACGTGTCTAGCTCTTCTTCTGGTGGAGCGGAGAGGGCGGAGAGCGGATGGATGCTGGCTTGGCGGGGCGGGGAGGGGCGGATCGATCTCTTGGGGAAAACTGGCCTGGGCTTGACTGACGGGGCTGAAATAGTTCTCTACGCCTACCACGGTATCAAGAATAACGCCAACCGGAAAGATGCCGTGCTGAGGAATCTGTCGTACTTGGGCATTGCGGCCGTCGGACTGGGCTCGGCCGTGTTCCATGCCACGATGAAGAGCTGGACGCAGTGGTGTGAGTTGGATTTCCCGTTTTCTCGTTCCGGGCCGTGGAGGGGGGAGGGCGAATTCGTGTCACTGGCTTCACGTCTCGTCAGATCGTGCGGGCGGCCATCGACCCGGGTACATCCATGATCCTCTGCACAGGATCCAAGTATTCAGCGAGCGAGGCGAGATGGGCTATGGATCGTGGCCAGGAAGCATGAAGACGAGCACAGGAAGATTGATCGGTGGGAGAACGGGAGTCCCGCTCGAGACCAAAGACCAGGGATCCGATGCCCGTTGCAGAGGCTCAGGCCGAGCGAGCTCGAGGCAGTGAGGCTATCAAAGTGCTTTTTTCAGGGGTGGAATAGCCTCTCATCCGGCTCACGGGACCACACGCCTGTAGTGTGATAATGCTGACTTGAACCCAGGCGATGACCTGTCGATGCTCGTCGCAGTCGCAACCGTCCTCCACCGTGTCTGCACCTTCGACAAGTCCCTCTCGACGACGGTGATCTCGGGGGTGGCCATCACGGCTGGCATGACGGCCTTCAGCGCTTGGCATTGCATTACCGATGAGACTGTCATGCATTCTGTTCTGTTTGGTAGGTCGCCCTTGCCAACCAGCGTGCGCTGCTTTTGGGTGGAGGAATTGCGAGAGTTGATGCTGATGCGGAGAAACAGCTATCATGATCGTCCTGGTAGGCCAGAAAACCCGGATGGTCATCACTCAAAGAGTCTCGGATCCGGCCGTTGCGAAGGAGGTTAGGAAGTTGGCGCTATGGGGCGGCAGTAAGTTTCCGTTCCTCTCTCTCTCTCTCTCTCCCTGCTTCCCACCATCCCCTCCTGGGCAACTTCTCTCTTGCTTCGAGAACCTGTGTGCAATTGACTCATTGAAAAACAGTCATCTTCATCTCCGGCTTCGGCATCTGGAACATCGACAACGCCATCTGTTCGTCTCTCACGCGCTGGAAACGCGCCATCGGCATGCCTTGGTCGTTCGTGCTGGAGCTGCATGGGTGGTGGCATATCTTTACCGGGGCTGGTGCCTACATCTGTGTGTTCTCCTATCTTTCTTATTTCTTACCTCCGCCCTGCCCCCACTTCACCCCCCTCCCCCCCTGACCTGCACGTCCCGGCTTCCAGGTCGACAGAAGAAGTCCCCCCTCGGCTAACGAAAACGAAAACCCAGTCATCGCCCTCGTCGAGTATCTCACCTCAGAGAAAGCTGGCCAGGCCCTCGGCTCCCGCTTCGCCTGGCCCGTGAACCTGATCGTCAACGGCCAAGCCGGCAGCAAAGCCTCCTCGCAGGATGATGGCGCCACGACGACCAGCAGCAGCACGAAGAAGAAGGCGCACGAGAAGAATGGCGGCGCGCCTGCTACTACCGGTACGTCGGCTGAGGTCTCGACTACGGATGTCAAGACGAATGGGGGCGCTGGGAAGATGAAGACGGCGGTGAAGACGAATGGAGCTGCTAAAAAGGGCCTGTAAAAGTTTGTAGATAATCGAGAGAGAGGGGAGAGAGAGGGTGGGGGGGAGGAGAGGAGAAAGGGGAGAGAGAAAGGGAGAGGGGGGACTAGAAATTCTGTGCTACTTACCTACTTGGCTATGTCTCTATGTCTCTGCCATGAATTTTTTTTTTCTTTTCCTTTTTTTTCTTTTTTTTTTCTTTTCGTAGTCTTGAGAACCAGATACCTACTTACCTTACCTACCTAGCTTACCTACCTAGCTTACCTACCTAGCTAACGACACCAAAGACTCTCTCTCTCCT